CCTACAAGATCAATATAAACTTAAAGAATTGTAACAGATCAAAATAAATTCGAAAATAATCAGAAGTAGAAAAAGACCTATGTCTCAGATTTTAAATTAACCTCAATGTCCATCATAAAATGAAGAGAACAGAAATGTTTAAATCATCTGTTACGTGTGCCATCAGTAAAGCTACCTTTACTTTGTTCAGTAAGTTCAAAAACTGTTAGAAAACTGCAACATTCCCGTTACAAGTATTAACACAATTAATCCAAAACAGAAGTTTCTGATAAAATCCTTTCCCCTTCTCATTCACTTTAAAAATCCCCTTGTCAAACAGAGATATTGAGTTCGGACTTTAGCCATCGTCCTGGTTTTTAAGATAACTAAGAAAAACACGACGTTTCGGAAACTGGATCTGTTTCCGTCCTCAGGTGAGGGAAAACACCTATTCTGTTGTGTCCCTTAGAAAGAGCTAGCCTCAATCACTGGACCAGTGACTGGGGCTAGTTCTCTCTAAGGGACCCAACAGAATAGGTGTTTCCCTCACCTGAGGATGGAAACAGATCCATTTTCCGAAACGTCGTGATTTTCTTTGGGTTCAGTGATTGAGGCTAGCTCTTTCTAAAGGACCCAACAGAATAGGTGTTTTCCCTCACCTGAGGACGGAAACAGATCCAGTTTCCGAAACGTCGTGTTTTTCTTAGTTATCTTAAAAACCAGGACGATGGATAAAGTCCGAAAACCCAATATCTCTGTGTGTTATAGACCATCGTCAGAATCCTATAGTAACTACTCCTTGACAAAGCCTTGGAGTTGAATCCTGAAATGATTAAATTTGTTGAAAATATCTGCCAAATGAGCTAATAGACAAATCCAGCCTTCATCTTCAAAATAATTAACGAAATCGTATTCCAGTTTTGAGAGGAATCACTTTACATAGTCTTTCAGTTCAAAAAGGCGATTCAACAAGCGCCCTCATGGCAGCCATCGCACCTTGGTGTGCAAAGAGTTGAACGTGTGTGCATCCCATTTCCTAACATATTTTCTTGAAATAGAACTGTTCAGTGTTTCGTGTAAATCATGGTTCTTCTTTTTTTGCGCCCATGCTTTGCCAGCTGATTTTAGGATCAGTTTCGCGAATACGCGCCACAAGACCGCTTCTTTTGGCCTGCCACTGAAGCAGCCCCATCAGTGGATACACTGACACATCATTCGCATTGCAAATCTAATTCCAAATTTATGAAATTGTCAAGGAATTGCCGTATGTTAGATATATCTAACAGCAAGCAGCACCCCGAATTGGCCGAATGTTATATATATATATCTAACGCAGCACTCTTACGCTCTTTGGGAGTGCTGACAGTTTTACCTTGGATTTGAAACCAAAACAAACATACGTGAGGTCATGTCAGTGGTTCAGTCCTTAGCTCTGAACAAAGAAATCGTTTATCACGGTACTGGTTTCGATGCTATTTACGTACTGTGTACGTTTAGATTTGACTGTTTATGACCTAGTCAGCCAAATATAGCCCAGCTTTTTTCGAGAACTGATGAGGAAATATTCGCATAGGAGTGCTTCCAGAGCCTTCAAGGACGTGTGACGCATTCAAGGAGTGGTTTTCAGTGACGAATTATCAGTTAGGAAGTCAGTGTCGGATTGTCTAATATTTCTTTATCATATATTATATTAGAGCATCCTGTTACACTCACACAATATATCCGAGACAAACACCGTCTTAAGTGTAACAATTTAATTGTAGTTCTTTCTTCTTTCCCTCCTCCACACTACATGTTTCGGCCCTAAATGGCCATCATCGGGTGTGTATTCTTACGTAGCTGTTACACTGCCTGTTAAAATTTAAATTCACCAGTCTTTCTAATTGTATAAAATCTTTGTTAACCTACACGCGTTAATTTGATTTCTAAAATTAGCACTTTTTTAAAACTT